ATAAAATATTGAAAATATCAGAGTTGAAAATAAAATCCAACAAATTTGTGAATTTTGGTTTGCTTCAGATCTTTCACTGTAGTAAAAAAACAATAAGTTCTGCATGCAAAATTGTATCTTTCTTTAAAAATTGAGCAAATTTATGGAAATTAGGTCATTAATCATTTTCTTTATAATGCTCTTAGTATTAAGAACATTACAATCAAAGTATTAGCTATAAAAAGTACTTTCACATGAATATGAAAATGCTTGCAGGAATACTGTTGTTTAAAAATATTATTCTTCAAATGCCAAATAGATGTTTATCTTATGTAATAATATTTATGTTTATAAGAAATTAACAGTGCTAAATTATAGTTACACACAGAAGAACTTAAAAGTTACAATGTATTAAAAAAATGAATTACTCAGAAGAGAAATGTGTGAATAAGATATGATTAAGGTAACAAATACTAAAGAATATAAAGTGTTTTCAATCTTATGAGATTAGCCAAAAGGCAAAAAAGCTGCATTTCCACGATAGTAAATTTCACGCAAGCGCAACCCTTTAATAATAAATTCCAGACAGTTTAAGGTAATAAATAATGTGTTGACATACAATTGTGTACTAATCTATTATCATATAAATTATTACATTGATACTTAACATTTAGTGAAAATAAAAATTACCAATTGAAAAAATAAAGCTGGAAATTTTTTTTTCCCTCAGTTCACATAAGAGACAATTATTACTTGAAAAACTACCTGGTTTAGCAAATTAAAACTACTATATACATTAATATTTCATTTCTTTTAATAAATACTGTTATGTGATTTATTGTAAATATATCAGTAATATTACTTTTAAAATTATATTGAAAACAAAAACTTTAACAATGGACTGAATCATTATGTTCATATTATGGTCTAATCTAACTAGAGCTCTTTGAAACATATCAATAACAGTGAACAGTATAATATTTTTATTTAAATTAGATTCACTCAATTAGATTCACTAAGAAATACTTTGTAAGACATTACTTTCAGAGGGTAAACATGAAATTAACATTGTAAAAAATAAAAAACACAAAAAAAAGAATCCGTTTAAGATCACAAAGCACAACTGACACACAAAGTGGTGATGCACAAAGTTAAATCAATAAGTAAAGTTATATCAAATAAATGACCAACTCTATTCAGGCCTTTAAGCACAGATTTAATGTAACTAAACATTAATTCAAATTCATTTAAAAAAAAATTTTACATTTATTTGTCTATAGTGATTAATTTGAAGTCTGGCTGAAAGGAATTTTATATTTTGTTGATTATATAACTATTATAGTATATTATCATATATTATGTATCAATTCCCAAAACTTTCTCAATCTTATGATTAGTTACAAATTTACAAAAATGAGTTAATTTATCAACATGTAATTAATTAAAAAAATAATTAATTAATTTAAGCTCACTTTTTCATTGTAATGTTTTTATCATGTTTTTATTCTGATTCTTTATTTCTCTTTGCTTTTTTTCCAATCCTTTTTTCTGTTAACCCATGAGAAATCCAGTCTTTTAGAAGTTTAACTTTGCTTAATAGCCTTGCAACAAAACAATTTATAACAGTTAATATTTAAATTATTAATAGTGGATAAAATCCAAAAGATTTGGGTAACAAAAAAATTGGTTGGCTAAGCAAAGTGATAATGTTATGATAAGAGCCTGAAGTCTAGTAAATCCCAGGCAAGTGGCTTGGTAAAAGTATGTAGTATGCCTTAATATAATTTTATTTTGGAAGTTTACAGTAACAGTTATATAAAACTTTCGAAATCCATAAGTCCCTCTATTTTGTTTCGAACTCTCCTTCTCCTTTATATTTTGGTCTCCAATGCTTTAGAAACTGGTAGCAAGGAATTTAATTCTCTTACCTAAACTGAAGAGTTTAACATATAATATCAAAGAGTTTAACATATAATATCAAAATGCATAAATTTCTTCTTTTTTTGAAAGGAATCTTGTTAACACTGTAGTCACAAGAAATAAGGATTTTTTGTGCAAAAACTTAGATTAATTTGAGAGGTCCAACATCTTTTTTCAGATATAAAAGAGATATAATAAAAATTATCAAAATAACAACCCAAGCAAAAAACTCCCACAAAATTTAAAATTAATGTTTTAGTTCAATCAACTAATTATTGGTGGTTATATAAGTGCTTCACTTATAACGTAAATTTTGAGTTTAAAGTATAATAATCTTTGCAAGAAAAATTAATGCCCACGAAATTTTGAAAATTTAACCCCCTCCAAAGAAAAGTTCCCTTTCCTCTGAAACTAAACCACTAGATGTGTTCTTCTCTTTTTTTGAAATTTTATGTGATTGCATAGCTGTGCATTGATGATAAAATAAACTTGGCTGGAAAAATGCCCACCACCAAAAAGTTCTTAAAAATTATCCACCTCCCAAATATTAAAAAATTTCTCATGAAATAATCTTAAATTTTTATCTAATTTACAGTTTTAAAATTACAGAATTGTATTTAATATTTAAAAAATGTAACTCCCTCCAAAAATGACTGCATTCATAGAATTAATAATGTCCAATTTGGCATGCTTTAAATGGAATAATTCAATTTTACTTCAAATTTATGAATAAGGAAAACAATGTGGTCTTTTTAAATTATGCGTTAATGAATGGGAGTGTGCAATTTTTAAATCACTACAAATATATAATGTGATGAGTTATTTGCAATTTGAATGTGAAACAAGAAAATTAAAAATCACAATAAGAGATTTTCAAAGAGGGTTTGAACTGCAATGGATTACTTCGAAATTGGAAACATAAATAGCCAAGAGCATCATTAAAAAAATGCATAAAGAAATAAGTTACAATATGCATGTGACTTAATTCCTTTTTGTAAATTGCGATGTATGATTTAAAAATTGTGTGTACGTGAAGCAGGAAGTGCAATTCATAAACCATATCTTTACAAATCATGATGAATAATTTTTAAATAACTTCTAATTTTTGGAGAATAAAGGCAAAAACAGCAGATCCAAACAATTAAATATTACTTATTAATAGAAAAAATTATCCATATGAAATTAAACATTAAATAAAAACTTAACACATTTATTAATCAAATAAAAATAAGGAATATTTAAGTATTATTGGCAAAATTATAACTCTGTAATCATAACATTATACTATAAAAAAAATTTCAAAATTATACTATAAACGAATTCAAATTCACATATCATGGTTCTGCTCTTGACAGCAGGGAAGAGTGGAAGATAATATTAAGAACAGAGTTATCCCTGCAAGAACATCTTGTAGAAGCCCCCAAAAATTCTGGAAATCAACAAGCATTCAATGCAGAACAAAAATATATATCTAAAAAAACAACAGAGAAATTTGATTATATAGTTCTGAAACATAGTGCCTTAGAGAGTCAGACATTCATAAGCTAGAGTTTTTACAAAATAACTGTCTTAGAAAAATTTTCAAAATTATTTGACCTACTAAGATTAAAAACAGAACTATATTAGAAAAAGTAAACCTATCTAAACTAGAACACGAAATCAAGAAGAGAAGGTGGAGATGAACAGAACATGTACTGGGGACGCCCAGATAAAAATTAATGTGTTTCTCTTTTTTGGGCCCCTCTTCTTCTTCTTCTTCCTTATCCCCAAAATTAGCAGGGCTAAACTATGTCCATGAAATTCATCACCCGGAGGAAGTCAGCCACCATAAGTGTGTTATTAAGAATGTCCCTTTTGTCCAGACCAAGACAGTCTAGGATATGTTGGGGGGAAGCCTGCATGTTGTGGCACCTGGGGCAGTTAGGGTAGATTTTAATACTACCCTCAAAAGAAAGGGACTTAAGGTGGCCGCTGATAAGCCTGGTAAGTGCAGTCTGGTCCTTGCGGTTGCACCGAATGTTGAGTGCACCTCCTGGACTGGTGCTCTGGTACCAGTGATGTTTGGGGGGTACGAGCCAGGAAGCGAGGTCTTCTTTTTTCTTTTTTGATGCCAGCTCCATGAAGGTGAGGGAATTTGGACTTATCAGATTTTCTTTCATCCCCTCCTTAGCCAGAGTGTCGGCGATGTCATTGCCCAGAACCCTTGGGCCCCTGATAGCAAGAGAAAAAGAGAGAGACCAAGAATGACTTGGCAGAGACAAATAAAAGTTGAAATGAAATTAAAAGATCAAAACGTGAAAGATCAGAGGAAGCAAGATCCTAAACCAAACCTGAGGGCGCATGAAGAAGTAGGCTAGATCTTTTATGAGTCAAAAAATGAGAAGAGTCTAACCAAACCTGAGGGGGCATGAAGAAGTAGGCTAGATCTTTTATGAGTCAAAAAATGAAAAGAGTCTAAGTATGTAATTATAAACAACTTACAGAGAGCAAGAAATTATAAATAAAAATGAAAATTAACCTAATAAACAGGGCAGTCCTAACATTTAGAATGGATGATTTTACACAAAAAAAATTCTTTAAGATAAACCATAAACAAACAGGAAAATATCAAACTTTTAAAATGGATGGAGTCAGTGAAGATTGGCTTTCTTACTATTTAGTGAAAAAAACTGGTGCATATGTGTCAAAAATAGAACACAATGGAATAGAATTCAAAGGATGACACTGGCTCATCCCGAGCTGTCTGGCCAACTATGATGATGATGGTGTTATACATAAACAAAATCATTCCTGTATAATGCATCAGATGTGAGTTGTAAACAATGTTAAGAAGGAGGTTAATTCTTACAGAACGAACTACAGGCACTCAGCTGCAGCATGCTGAAAAGTAAAACAAGTACCTTACAAAACATAAGTTTAGTTTAAGTCACAATCAAAATAGTTTTTGAATCGCCAATTCTATAATCTCTAGACTAATTACCAGTAATCAAATACAGAACTAATATATAATACCTAATCAAATACCAATACACACTGTTATTGTATCAGAATGCAAATTAATTAGCCATAAAAGATATTTTGTTTGAAATAAGGTACTTTTCATTTATTCTTTAAAACTTTCAGTACATATACATTTTCAAAGAATTTACAACAGAATAAATCTCAACACAAAGAAATAAAAAAAAATAGAAAATGCTATATATGTACAAGATTTGGTTCCTGTTCTAAATTTAAATTAAAAACAGGAGTTTTCAAATTTTAATAATATGTATCAAATCTTAACAAATCTACACTTTTTTTGAAAATTTAAAAGTATTCTTGGAAAAAACATGGCTTTCAAAATTATTTACATTCACATAGTTTTCTAAAAGATCTCGTAACTGCGTAACAGCTTTCAATCTTCCATTTGGCTTGGTTTCTTGCACACATTCTCGTAGTAAACTCTCCACTGAATCCTCTATTACTAAAGGGATTTTATGTAAAAGTCCTGTAAAAGAAAAAGAGATTATAAATTTTACTGAAAACAGAAGTAATTCAAATCAAAAAATCGTATGTAATCATTTCTGGAGTTAGTTTTTTTTTCTGAAATTTTGATTATAACATTTATATTGGCCAACAAAAAATAATTTTGTTTTTATTTTAACCTATAAAAACTACTAGGTAATTACACTAGTATTTTAGAAAAGAAAACCAAACACTAATACACTTATAAAACTCTTCAGTTTGAAGAGATTCTTAGGTTTTTAATACTTTTGGTTGATTCATTGAACTAAACAAAAATGTGTTATAGGAATTTTTTACTAATTCAAAATGATGCTGAATCTTTTGAAAAATCAAAAATAATAATAATAATAATTATAATACTTTTAGTTTTGCTTAAATGTCTCTCGAGATGACTATGAATTTAAAATTAGACTATCACAAATTAATCAGTAGACAAGATCTTATTAACGCTAGCGTTAAATTACTTAAAATGTGTTCACAACACTTGAGTATGGGCCGACCAGGTGGCCTAGTGGTTAGCATGCCTGACTGTGGAGCCGATGGTTGCGGGTACGAATCCCGCTCAGGGCATGGATGTTTCTTTCTCTCTCTATGCGTTCTATGTTCTTTCTTCTGTGTGATTGTGTGAATGTAACCCACCTTATAAACGGGTTTGTGGTTGTATGACGTGGGTGACGCTACTCCAACGGTGTAGCTTAGCCATAAGTGCTCACTGGGTAATGATAAGAGAGTAGCAATTTTGCAATTTCTGAGGCCAATGGGAAATAGACCCAAATGCCCGCCAAAAAAAAACACTGGAGTGTGAAAAGGTTATCATCAAACGAATGAATTTAAAGGTACTAAAAATGCTACCACACATAATATAAATTTTTTTTTTCATTATAAAAACATTAAAGAAAGGAGGAGTAGGAAAGGGTATTACAATAGAAAAATGGTGGTCAATTTTCTTGAGAAGATTGTCACTATTTAAAGAAAAAGATTATGCCTACCACTTTTTTACAATTCCAACACACCAAAAAATAAAAATTTTGACAATTGTGGTTTATAGGCTGATCCCGGGATTTTTACCAAAATACAGTAGAGCGCCGATTATCCGAACCCTTATTATCCGAATGTCCAATTATCCGAACCATGTCCGAATTCGTTTTTTTTCTTCGAGTTTAGAATACTTTTTAAATTATCGATAATTTTTCTAAATTTAGAAGAATAAATAAGATCTACTACATCTGAAGATCATATTTAATTTACAACCTTTTTCAGCAGTTTTCTTAAAGTAGCATGCATGCATGTATATTATTATACAGTTAAACCCACATATCCCTTTAGCCCCTTTCAACTGAAAATTATCTTTCAAGAATGTGAGCTTCATTTTGACAGTCAACAATGGTTGGAATGCGGAAGGAGTTTATGAATAGATAAGTGCTGAAGTTCTACAATTGGTGGATGGGTAGTTCTCACTTATGGTTAATGATTACTGATTACAGTGCGCTTCTCACAGCTGGTTACTTTTCGAGGAAATTAACAGAATTCGGTTTCATCATGTAAACTAAACTATGACCAGTAGAATGACCATGTTTTTATGACGTCACTTCCGAAATGCACTATTGGACAACAGGTTTTCTGTTGTCAAGACTACAATCAGTTGAAAAGTAGAGTTAACCTGAGAAAAGTGCTTTTCATAAGAATCTAGAAAGATGTCGCGCAAACGTAAGAGAATCGTTCTTTCCTTAAGTGATAAAACAAAAATTTTAAAAAGATTGAAAAATGGAAAAAGTGGAAGTAAATTAGCGGCAGAATATGGCGTAGGAAAATCGACAGTATCGGAATTGAAAAAAAATGAAGAATCTGTTATGAATTATGTTTCATTAATGGACAAAAACAATGGAAATTTGGATCGAAAATGCATGAAAAAGTCAAGCAACGATGACGTGGATAATGCACGTTATTTGTGGTTCCTACAAAAAAGATCTTTAGGTCAACCAATATCTGGCCACCTATTATGCGAGAAGGCTTTATTTTTTCATGAGAAATTTGGTGGAAAGGGTACTTTTCAGGCTAGTTCGGGATGGTTAAGGAACTTTAAACATCGACATGGAATACACGAGTTAGAAATTCATGGCGAAAAACTTTCCGCATCTACCGATTCCGCTTCAAATTTTGTAAAGGAATTAGAAAGCATTATTGAAACTGAAGGATATGAAGAAGAATTTATTTATAATGCAGATGAAAGTGGACTGAATTGGAAATCTCTACCATGAAGAACTTTGGCTTCAGGAGATGAAAAGCGTGTTTCCGGGAACAAAATAATTAAAGAAAGAGTCACAATTAACGTATGCGCAAATGCAACTGGAAATCATCGAATACCTTTAATGATGATTGGAAAATCCAAAAATCCAAGAGCCTTCCAAAATGTTAAAACACTACCTGTCATTTATGCATCTCAAAACAAAGCGTGGATGAACACCAGCATTTTTATTAAGTGGTATGATAAGACTTTCATTCCAAATGTGAAGAAATATCAAAAGAATTTGGGAAAAACAGGAAAAGTGTTACTCATCTTGGACAATGCTCCGTCGCATCCAAATCCAGATCTCTTAGATCGGGAGAATGGAATGTTTCGTGTTGTTTTCCTGCCACCCAATGTGACACCTTTGATTCAGCCGAGGGATCAAAGTGTCACTGAAACCTTAAAACGTCTTTATAGAAAGCAATTTTTAGGAAAATTTTACTCTCGGATGAACAAAATGAGGGGAATTTTCGGAACTCAATCAAAGCTATTGATTTAAAAGATTGCTGCATGATGATAGCTGATGCCTGGAATTTAGTAAAAACAGCGACGCTTAGAAAATCTTGGAATAAGATTCTTAACAGAAAAACAAACGAAACTGAAGTTTCTGAGCCAGTAGAATTTCCGAATGAAAAGATGCCAGGTTATACAGCAGAAGAAATCAAAGACTGATGTCAAGAAACTGAAAATGACCCAGGATTTCAAATTTTAAATGATGATGAAATTGGTACTGAAATTTTGAATGAAAATCGGAACTCCGCCGACGAAGAGGAAGAAGTAGGTGACCAAGTTCAAGATTGTGGACCTTCTCATATAGAAGCATGCAATGCATTAGATATTGCAATGAATTGGCTAGAACGTCAAAATGATGTTGATCCAGTTCAGTTGATTTATTTAAAAAGAATAAGGGATATGGCTGCTCAAAAAATAGTATCTTCCTTGAAACAAAAGTCTTTGCTGGATTTCTTTGGCAATGGAAAATAAAGATAAATGTAGTAAGATCAGTAATTGACAAAAAACTTATAAAAAGCTAAAATATGACCCAAAAAAATTTAAAATGAAAAAAACTTTTTAAAAAATTTAAAAATCAAAAAAAACAAAAAAACTTTTAAACACGCTAGAGCTATTTTAGATAGTACTGCCAGTCCTGAGCCTGGAAAAAGTGTGAAGGGAAGTTGGCGCATAAATAATAATCATTTAAACTAGATTTTGAACAATTTTCCAGTTATCCGAACTTTTCATTATCCGAACCACGTTTGGTCCCGAGCAGTTCGGATAATCGGCGCTCTACTGTACTTTGAAACTTAATTAAAGGAACTTTTTTTATCATAATTTAAATCTCTAATGCTTATTTTTTTGTTGCTGCTTTCTTTATTAAAGGCACTTGCCCTGCTACGGTTGGGTATCGAAAATGAAAAGTTGCTAACAAGCAAGTGATAACAATTTTAAAGAAAAATAAAAATTAATGGCCGGGTGAAACGATATAGGGGTACATTTCTAGAGTCGTGTTGCAATTTGCAACCCATAAGAATTTTTAATTTTTAAAAAAGTCCCAGAAACAAATATATTCTACAAAAAAGGCATACCTCCTCTCCATAGAAGTTCTCCGTACCTAGAAAGAAAGCAACAACAAAAAACCAGTCCAAATGAAGTAGTCCAGTTCTTTTTACTAATATTTGTTGTTTATTGGAGATTACTAGGCAAACATCTTAAAATTATCACAGTGAGGCACAACATCTTAAAAATATCATCAATGGCACAACATCTTAAAAAATATCATCAATGGCACAACATCTTAAAAAATGGGTACTATTGGGTAGCTGGAGCAGGAGACCGAAACATCACAAATAGCATGTTCGTGTATCATGGTGAAGAGCAGTCAATCAAAACGGATTACTGATAAAAGGGTTGAAGCATAACATTTTTCAAAAAGGGAACAGCTGCCGATATTTTCGGGATTTTCTTTAAAAATTACACCAGCATTATAACAAAGCTAAAAAATGGCTGTGAAGGAATCCATCAATGGCGGTCTTCGACGCCATGTAAAATCCGAAACCCTTTCCTCAAATGAGGAGGGAAGTAAAAAAAAGCTCCGCGAGGGAGTAAGTATGACGTTGGGGCGATGGAAGATTCGAATGCCACGAGCGTTTCTCGCGCTCTGGCTTTTATAGCAAAAGAAAAAAAAACCGAGTTGAGTACTCAAGGTACTGAAAGTATGAATTAAAGAACTAAAATTTTAAGTTGAGATGTATTATCAATATTATTTTTAAGTGTTATTCTCACCTTCTGATTGACGTTGCAAAGCTAAGTTTCAGCCGACTTCAAATTCTCGTGCAACATCAAACGACGCCGACAGCTTTTTCCGAGAAAAGGGGTGTCTGAGGAATGTGTAAGGAACTTTCAGGGGAAAATGTCCTCATTGCGCTAACGCGTTAAGGGGCGAGAAGAAAAGGATGAAGAAATAAAAAATTGTATCATAAAATTATAAATTAAGCCGAAAAAAAAAGGTATTTTGATTAACAAAACGGGATATTTAGAAATTAGGCTGTGACTTAATGTCACAAAA